GAAGGCAGGGAACAGAAAAAGTATAAAGGATCTGCTCCCAGAGGAATTCACAATCAAATCTGCTTTAAGGTTGGTGTGGGAAAGAAGAGCCTTATCAGCCCTCCTCAACAAGCCCTTCCGTAGTATGATCATATGCCAGCAGCAAGGCACACAATTGACATGACAATTAAGCATTTCAAGGTCTGCCAGGGTATATCTATTACCCTGAGACACATAGAAAATTGTAGACACAAGTACAAATCCCAGATGAGGAGTGTGATCAATTCCCGCAACTGAACAGAGGACTGGGCTGGAGCCCACCTACAATGGACTATTCAACAGTGATCAATTTTCTAAAGATTCTGCATTACAGAAATACAAGTGGAGCTGGCTGTGCATACAAGAGAATACAGTGGTACAAACAAATATATAGCAATACTGTATTTAAAAATATAAATACACAATATGCAAATACCTATATTCTTTCTCTTATACCCCAAAATATCAGCCATCTGGATATTGCTTCTTTTTTTTTTTTTTTTTTTTTTTTTTTGTCTTTTTCATTTTTATTGGTACCGGGGATCGAACTCACGACCGCCTGCTTGCAAGGCAGGTGCTTATGCCCCTGAGCTAAATCCCCAGCCCCTGGATATTGCTTCTTAAAGGTCATTTCTTAAGAGTTCATAAGCAAGCAATGTATCAGTTATCCAAAGATCCAAAGACAATGGATGGATTGGGCTGGGGATTTAGCTCAGCGGCATAAGTACCTGCCTTGCAAAGCGCGTGATCATGAGTTCAACCCCTGGTACCAATTAAAAAAAAAAAAAAAAAAAGACAATGGATGCAGAATGATAAAAGACTGTATACCCAATGTAATCAGCTCTATAAACACAAAAGCCATAAATCAGTTTCAACCTTGAATTACGGTGTTTCCTGACCACAAGAAGGCTTAAAGGATGAATCAAGTCAATCAATATAAGTTCAACAAATCTCCTTTTGGTGTTTTATTTGTCTGTAGTACTAAGGATAGAACCTAGGACTTTGTACATGCTAAGCATGTACACTACACATGAGCTACATCTTCAGCCCAACATTTTTTTTGTCTTTTTCATTTTGAACCTATTTAGCAAAGTAGCTTGTGAAATATGCCTTTCACTATAGGAAATGTAACATCTAGTCCTATCATTTAGCGTGCAGATTTTTATCATAATAACCAGTTTAAAAAGAACTGACCAAACTGTCTCAAAGGTTACAACAAGAACTTCAAAATTTCTTCCAGACTCATCAGTTTTCTCACACAAAATTACAAAAAACCTTCCAAAAGTCTGCCATTCATATTTCCTCATTATTTTTTATTAAGTCTTTTTAAACCACACATTATTACTTTTAGAAAAATACTGATGTACAAAAATAGTTTCAGTATTTTGAATGGTTTACTGTCAATCCAAACTCAAGAAACCCCTTCTACTTCAGGACAAACCTAACCAAAATATTGGCATCATGACTCACCTAGATTCATATCCAATTTCCTCAAAGAAATTCACATTGGAAACTGTACCATGTGAAATATGCAATTATTACAGTCTAGAATTTTAAATCTGCCGTCACTATCTAAACCAAAATTATTATACAAAAACAGTCAAGAAATCAGCACATTCCAAATGTGCAGTCCCAGATGTGAAGACCAAGTTGTTTACAACATTAGTCTTCTGTTGAGGAAACCACAGTTGAACCACCCAATTAATAGAATTCACTTCCTCATCTATAATAGGTATAGAAGGCAACAGACCCACCTTCCCTCCCAAACCTTAAAGGGAGAAGTTGATCGGATTAATAGGTTTGGATTATTAATGGCTTGGTCTACCCTGTTTTATCTAAATGAAGAAAACACCCCGTCTGGTGTACAGAAGTGGTAGTCTTAAGACAAAAATGGGCATGTGGACAGAAAAATGATCACTGATTTCTAAGGAAAGCCAAAAGTATGTGTCCAATGAGCCAGCATAAATTTTACATGAGAACTTCCTTTGGTTTTACCTTGTATCTTCCTCCTGTACTGCATCAAATTAAGATCAGTTTATTCTTCACTATTTGGGAATATACAACTTAACATATTTTATTTTTTAATACAAGGCTAGATATCCTTTCTAGCCAATAAAGACCATTAAATCACATCAGTTATTTCAACCCACAATTGGCAATGTTCAAGGGATTCACACCAATTTTGGTATAAAATTAATAAAACAAGCAAATTTAAATAGTATTATTTCTTAATCAAAAGTATAGCCCCCCCCCCGAAAAGTATAGCCCAAAGTCAAATGTGAAATGTATGATGACTACGTAAATCTAATCAATAATTAAGACAAGACTTAATAGATCAAAATTAAAGATAGGTAATTAACTCTCAAACACAAAATAGCACTTTTCAGAAGGCTAAAAGGATTTACTCTTATTTCTTATATTCTTTAAAGTACGTATTAGAATCCAGTTTTCTTGTACCTTTCCACTGTCCCACTATCACAGCATTTCTTCAACTGAACTCTTCAAATGAAAACTATCTTGTTTATTAAACAGATCAACTCAAATCATGTAAGGCAACAGAAACTATATAGGGCACTGTACAAGCAGACCTCCAATATAATTAAGATTCTCTCAGTATAATTATCAAAATTCTTCCAGTTAGTATAGACTTGGCCTTTGACTACTAACCTTTATGTTTCAATCTAAGATACCATAGAAAAAATAAATTGTGAAAAATAATCAATTGAAATTCTTCCCCTACTGATAAAAATTAAACAATGAGGGAGTACACTAACCTCATTAGGAACTATCCTATGCTACTTCATCCATATGACTTATTTCAATCAAAAACAACCACATTTTTTTTAAATTCATTAACTGCACTCTCAAAAAATACACTGTAACTCCTACTTACTTAATCACAGTACTCCTTATTCTAAAATGTATTTTTAAGTATAAATCGGTAATCCCTTTAAAATGAAAACAATCCAATAATCAACATAATATGATTTGAGAAAATTCATTAACTTTACTCAATTTTTTCTTCATAGTTGCCATGGCAGTATACCCCCAGTCATCAATTCACCCTCTTTGCCAGACCCATACTAACTGTACCTAAAATCATCTCAGGATTTCATCTTTTGTGCAGAGAAGAGTACTTTTCAACTAATGATTGAAGTAGGTTAGATAAAGCCCTCCTTATGTGTGCTCTGAGTAAAGGGAAGACTTGGAAGTTCATCAAATATCTTTCTAGATGTGAATACACCTGTGTATCTAGCATTCTTGGAAGGCTGAGGCAAGACAATCACAAGTCTGAGAATAGCCTGAGTAATTCGGTAATTTAGTGAGAGCATCTCAAAATAAAAAATAAAAAAAGGGCTCAAGGTGTACCTCAGTGAGAAAGCCCTGGGTTCAAATCCAAGTACCAGAAAAAAAAAAAAAACCTTGCTTATTCTTTCTTCTTTAACTGTTCTTTTTTTATCCACATTATATAATTAATCTTTGACACTGCAAAACTTATAATCAATACTTAGTATAAATATTTTTCTCATAGCTATCACTTTCAAATTACTTTGTAACTGTAATAACTGCTAAGTTATAGAGTACTTACTCACTACATACAGATTGGCATGTGTTAACCTTCATAACTCTGTGAAGTATGAATTATTATTATCCTCATAAAAAAATAAGGAAACCGAGTCAAGGACAGACTATAATGCACCCAAAAACATGTCTAGTGATTAGTACAGCTGCCATAAGACGCATCAGTCACAACAGTCAGGCACCACAATCCGCATGTTAGATGTTCCAAGGACCAAACTACGATAGTACCAATGCCCGCCCACCTCACCAGTTCACCTGCCTTAACATTAGGATCAAGTTCAAGGTGCTACTAAAAGAGATTAAAATCTACATACACAGCAGTGTTCAAAGTGCCACACCCCAATACATAGAAAACATGACTAAGCAACTTCTACAGGAAAAAAACATATAAATAATACTCTGATATAAAAGCCTACACAAAGAACCTCCATTCAGTCAAACTTGTAAACTCTATAACCTCCCTCACCTTCATCACTGTTTTATCTTCAAGCCTTACAAATTCTCAAATACTCTTCTTAACCAGAAAAATACTTGTCCACATTAATCTTGTCAACTAACTGATACCAATCTATCTTCTCCAAGTTGGAGTCTTCCAAAGGTCTCAGCAGCCCCTGAACAAACTTATCAAAGTTACACATTAAAAGAAATGAGAGACCCTCAATTCAATATTACAGAGAATTATAGCAAACTTGAGAATCTTCTCACTCAATTCCTCAATGTCTTGATGTGCTACACACATGAACCAATTTCCCAAGATGAATGTAACTATTCTGTATTATAAACATATACCATACCAATACAAATTTTTAGGAAACACCCACCTGTTGACAAGCCCAGCAATCAAACTGGAGCAAGGGCACCCCTAAAATACAGCTTCAGTGTAGGTATTCAACTGTTAGGTTTTTGTGATAAAACTTGTCCTCAAGGTTAAACACTTCTAAACAGTTGGAATTTTTGTTTATTAAACAACAAAGCATGTATCACTTCAGGGGACTCAACTCTTAAAATTTTCCTATTGGAAATAGGAATTCAGGTAGCCAATCACCATCATCTTTTCTATTCACGAATAGAAAAAAGAATTAACTTGTATACATTAATAGAAAAGTTCCCACCAGGGATACAGCTCAGCAGCACAGCACCTGCCTGCCAAGCATATGATCCTAAACTGGATCCCCAGTAGACCGGTAGACAAAACACACACACACACACACACACACACACACACACACACACACACAGAAAAGTTCCCAATGAAAACAACCTAACAATATCACAACCTTCTTCATGTTAATATTGTTGGGAAACACTTTTTATGTAATTTATGGTTGACAAATTCAACGGTTTTATGCCATCTGAGAACAAGGAACATAAATTCTAAAGCATGAACAGAAATGAAATACCTCAAGTTCCACCAGAGCTGCAGTTACTGCATCTGTCGCCAGAGCACCAGCCTGTAGTTTCTCAATTGCCTAAGCAGCCAAGAGAAAAAATTACTCATTGTAAAAAATCACAACTTCTCAAACATACTCATCAACTTTCTCAAGTCTTAAAAAAATTGGAAGAGGGCCAGGAATATAGCTCAGCAGCAAAGCGCCTGCCTGGAAGCACGAGGTCCTAAGTTTGATCCCAGGTACAAAAAAAAAATTGGAGGAGATGTTTCAGTTAGTAAAAATTGATTACTAAGTCTATTCCATGGCTCAAGATATAAGTTATTCAGATTAAAATAAGTAATGTTTACATTAATTAATAACACTCAATATTATTTAAATCAAAAATAAATGGAATCTAACCACTAACTGTCACATGCTAAGAATTTAGTAAGTGAAAGGACTCCACTACTCACAACACAATTCAAAACAGCCACAGAAATTATATGAATTCAGTTTGGTTAAAATAACATGACAATTCATACAATATTGTGACAATTCAGATAACTGAAGCTCAGACTAAGTAAATAATTTCACCACTCTTACTACTCTCCTCTCCTATATCTATAAAAAAAGTATCTGTCAGTCATAGACACACATCAGATAAAAAGATACTTTATTTGATTAAAATATTTTTAACAATATAACTTATTTTCTATCAAGATAAAGAAATAGTCTTTGTAATATAAACTACAGAGAATAAAAGTCCACAAAAACACCTTACCTTTTTGGTCATAAATTAAGGAGAAAAAAAAAAGAAAGAGAAGGAAAACTGATTTCTAAATGAAGTATTAAAAGTACTAAATTACAGCTGGGTATATAGCTCAGGGGCATAGCACCTGGCTGGGCAAGTATGAGGTTGTGAGCTTGATCCTCAGTACCAAAAATAAATAAATAAACAATTGCACTCCAAATTAATTAGCAAAGAGAAAATTGAAAAACTAAGAATTATACCTTTCACTTAATGTTTAAGAATCTAATTCACTACATAAATTGAGGAGACTGATACAGTTCAAATGTATTAAATTTCTATGACAATTGCATAAAAGTAAAACATTTCAGATATCAAAAACTTTATACCTTAAAAAAATATAAAGCAGCTTTGAGAAGTTTTAGCTTTATTATTGTGAAAAAAATTCTTAAAACAAAATATTATTATGTACTTGTGGGATTATATTCATAAGGAAAAGCCCCAGTCTCAAGTATAATCTTCCTTTTAAATAGGATGCTTGTATAAATAAAAAAGCAGAGACCCATGTTTAATTAATGTACAATTAACATTTTACTGGCATAAGCATTAATGGAAGGTGGGATTAAAACAAAAAACCGTATTTCTTCTAAGTCCATTCTGTCCATTAAGTATTCAACAATTTAGCAAAACTCAAAAACCAAAGGGGAATATAACTGAGCACAAGAGCAAGCTAAACTCAATAATGACAATGACTTTGCTATGATACAAAAAGCATGATGAAAGCAGAAGGATAAAGTTCAAGATAATCTAGGAAAAGCACACATTTGAATTATTTTATGGGTTTTTTTTTCCTTCATGGAAAGACACTGGCTGTATTTAGGCAGTTTTTTTTCTATTGCTATAGAGTCCAATGCCTTTGCAAAGATTAACATAGATGATAGATATGCCCAATATCCCAAAAGTACCAACTTTAACATGAAGATGGAGAGAAAAGGACTAAGCATCATTCAGAGAATTTAAAACATAACAAAGTCAAATTAGCCCTGACAAACATGAGCATAACTGTGGTCTAAACCAAAAGCTGTTCTACAAAATGAACCTTAAAATTTCGAATGTCAAAGTAAAATTGCTGAATGTTGCAAACTGAAACATTTATATCATACACATTCTGTTCATACCTTCTGACAAGCTCGTTTGCATACATGTTTATATTCTTTAGCTTTGGACTCAGAATGATAACCTGCACCTATAGTAGAAAAATAAAAATAAAGTGTTAGTTATCACTAAACTAGAAAATACCTTGCCTACAAAAGTAGTACATACAAACTGAAGTGGTCTCCAGGAAAACAAAACTATTGTCCTAGCTGTACAGTCTTTAAAAATCTCATAGCTCCTTTCTCCACCATAATCTTTCTAGTACCATACCATATCTCCTGTTCAGAAACACTTTTTCTAATTTGTGCCGGTACTGTTCAGACAATTGAATGCAGATGTCTTGTGCTCTGGGTGAATGATTTGGGGATGACAAAATACAATGCATATATCATTGTTGCCCCCTGACTGAGGTTATGAAATTTTTAGTTTTTTTTTTTTTTCTCCTTGAAATAAAATGGATTCAGAAATAAATAAATAAATAAATAAAGTTCAAAAAATCTTAAAAAAAAAAAACAAAAACTTTATCTGGGCCAGGGATTTAGCTCAGTGGAACAGTGCTTGCCTGGTAAGTATGAGGTTCTGAGTTCAATTTCCAGTTTAAAAAAAAAAAACACTTTCCCCACCAGCAGCCCTAGAAATATAGTTCACGTCCCCAAAGAAACTACACCAAGGTTACCCTCCCTCCTTCTCTCAAACACTTCACTCCAGAAATTGAAATTGATAATCCAAGGAGATGTTAGCAATAAAATCTCTTCAAATTCCTCTCTGGTGAACATTAGCATGCCTCTCCATTTGGAAAACTGTTAACTCAGAATCCAGAATTTTGGTCTGTCCTTTTCTGAAAAAGATTTGCCTCCACAAAGGAGATTATATTTCCAAAGGAAGGAGGCTTGCCCTGAAGACCCTTTATCTGTCTTATCAGTATACAGGACAGACCATATCAAATCCTTGTCCAGAGATTGCCACTGAAAGTCGCATCTTCCAGTAACCATTATCTGGGACACTTTCTGTGCCTAACAAGACACAACATCTGTTCACAGTACATTTCCTCCCCTTCCCCTTGTATAACCAGTCCACCTCTTGCCCCAGAGCCTGAAGTCTCTATTTCTTTCTGCAGCACAAAAAGCTACTTGATGCTTCAGCCATTAGGCTCTTTATGCCTCATAATTTGAGCATGGCTCCTTTTGCACCTTAATAAATGTGCTGGATTTTTTCTTTCTGTTAATACATTATCAGTTCCTTTCACAGACAAGAATGGTTGAAACTAAAACAGGGACTTAAGAACCTGGACCTGGCTGTGGAGAAAAGAAAGCAGGATAAAGCTTGGCTCATTTGCCCTCACTTTATATCTGACTCCTGCTCAGCACTGCATGTAGACATGTTAATCACTTAAGGAATGTGTGTCTAAAAACTGATAAAATGCCAGGTGTGGTAGTACATGCCTGAAATCCCAGCAGTGGGAGGCTGAGGCAAAAGATTGCCAAGTTCAAGGACAGCCTGGGCTGCATAGTAAGACCCTGTCTCAACCAAAAGATAAATAAACAAGTAAATAATTAGTAATACAAAATTTACTTGCCTAAAATTTACCTTATTTCTTTTACTTCAAGATTGAGGACAATAACCTCCAATTTCTATACATCCTAGCTGGTAGTCTCCAGTACTGTCCTAAACCTGCAGTCACTTCAGAATTCGGAGGAGCAGGGCCTTCCTCTCCCCAAACAGATGCAGTCATCCCACCAGAAGGACCTCCTCCTCCAGTGTGAAAAGGATTTTCTGCAACCACCTCAAGAGTCACCAGGCAATGTGGACAATGATCCACCAGACCAGTAGTGGTGAACCTATGGCATGCATGTTATTAGTTTTTAAGACAAAAGATGTTAATACCCAAGTTGCTTTTTCTAAACTAAAACCTCAGTATTCTGGTTTAATTGCAGTGTGTGCACTTTGCAATAAATGAGTTAGTTTTGGGTTGCAGTTTGGGCGCTCATCTCCAACAGGTTTGCCATCATGCACCAGACCATGACCTGACCAGGATCACCTGCTCTGCCAGCCATGCAAACAACCCAGTTATGTCACTCCCCCAATCCCTATCTTGTTCCTCTTCTCCAGAAAAATCTCTACATTGTTTATCAGTCTCTGAAAGGTAATCCTGGACCTCTTCATCTGTCCTTGTCTGTGTGGCTTGCAAATTAAAGCTTCTTTGATGCCCATCACCACTGCTTGGCTCTTTGTCAGGTTCCCAGAGCCAGAGCTTTGTCCTAAAACTTCAGTGACAAAACTTTAGAGGATTTCCACAGTGGTTGCACCAGTTCACGCTCCGACCAACAGTAGAGAAGGGTTCCTTTTTCCTCACAGCCCCGCAAGCATGGTTATTAGTTGTTTTCTTGATAATAGTCATTGTTTCTGAAGTGGGATGGAGTCTCAGTATGGTTTTGAGTTTCTCAAATGACCAGTGATGTTGAATAGTTTTTCATATATTTATTTGCCATTTGTACTTCTTTTGAGAAATGTCTGTTGGTCTCAGATGCCCATTTTTAGACTGACTGATTTTGGAATGTTTGATTTTTTTTCAATTCTTTATATGAATTAATATTAGTCCTTTGCCTGAAGAACAGCTCGCATAAATTTTTTCCTAGTCTGTGAGTTGTCTTTTCACTCTGTTGGTAATTTGCTATGCAAAAGCTTTTCAATAAAATTAAATCCTAGTTGTTGATTTTTTTGTGATAGTTCCTGTATGACTGGGTTTTTGTTAATAAAGTCGTGGCTTACACCTATGTCTTTCAGAGTTCTACCTATTCTATCTTCCAGAATATTTAGTATTTGTTTTAATATTTAGATCTTTGATCCATTTTGATTTTAGTTTAGTGCACAGACATAATTTAGTGATAGACATGAGTCTAGTTTTAGTCTTTGGCATGTGGGAACCCAGTTTTTCCAGCAGTGTTCATTAAAAAGCCCATCCTTCTTTCACAGAATGTTTGGTCTCTTTGTCAAAGATCAGGTGAAAAGAAGGAAAAAAAAAAAAAAAAAAGAGCAGGTAGCTGAGTACTTTTGGAGTTATTTCTGCATCTTCTATTTTGTTTTACTAATCCTCAGTTCTGTTTCTTCACTAGTACCACAACGTTTTATCACAGTGACTCTGTAATATAATTTCAAGCCAGGGATTGTGATGCCCTCTCTTTTGTTCCCCAGAATTGTTTTTGCTATCCTAGGTCTCTTTTGGTTCCAAATTAATTTTAGAATTGTTTTCTCTAGTTCTCTAGTTCTAGTTCCAAGCAGAAGGTAGAGGAGGTCCTCACAATATGGAAATCCAATGATCTTTCAGGTTCCATGCCTCCCATGACAGAAACACAATTCTCAGTGTACTTCAAAACACAAATAAAAAATATCCACACTATTTTCATCTGCCAACTCATTCACAGAAGGCTTACCTGCATGGACTAGCACAAAGCCTCCTCGTCTCTCCTTAGGGGACTGCTTTGCTTCCTGAGGGGGTCTGGAGGGCAGCCCTTGTCCAGAACTCATCCCCTTCTCCATGGTCATTCTCCAAAACTACCATCTTCTACTAGGGTTAAAGCATATTTCTATCCAAAAGCAACTGCAGGATAGGAGTCACCCTAGAGCAGAACAGGCAAAAGTGGCATGATTTCTTTCCACAAACATCTACATCACTTACAAAAATTCATGCGGATAATTTTCAAACCTATTTTTGGAATTAGCTAATTGGGTTAAGATAAAGAAAAAACCAAGGTTAAAATTTAAATCTTTCCTCACTGACAGTACTTGCTTGATGACAAACAAAAGAACTACTGTAGAAAAGACCCAGTACTAAGTGCAAAGATATTTCACTTTTAGCTACACTGAAGTCTTCATTTCTCCTTCCTCCAAACCAAACACCAATAAACTCTGGGACATTCTGAAATTTTAAATGGTTCTGGCAACATTGCTGAACCATTAGAGATGATAGTTTTTTGCTTACTCAAATACTGAAATGAAGTAACATACACATTCATACCTATGGGGCTGGGGATTTAGCTCAGCAGCATAAGCACCTGCCTTGCAAGCAGGCGGTCGTGAGTTTGATCCCTAGTACCGATAAAAAGTTTAAAAAAAAAAGAGCAAACACATTCATACCTATATGCGAAGAATTTAGGTAGGACAGCTTATTGTTCCACCGCTCAATTACAAAACAAAACATTAAGAAATTATATGACTATACCAGGCATGGTGGTACATGCCTGTAATCCCAGCACTTGGTAGGCTAAGGCAGGACGATTACTGTAAATTCAAAACCAGCCTGGGCTACAAAGTAAGCTTAATGCCAGCCTGAATTGCATAGCAAGACCCTGTCTCAAAAAAACAAAACAAAGAAATTATACAACTAAAGCAAGAAATTAAAATAACACCTGCAAATGGTTGTCAGTGTTCATGAAAAATATTGTACCTCAGGTTCTCCACAGATAAATGATGAGATATAAAATTTAATAAGATAATTTCGTAGCAACTTAAGCCATAAAGCTTCTAATTTTTTTCACAATGCATTACCAACTCATACTTTCAACAAGTTTGGCTAAAGTACAAAAATAGAATGAATTTTATACCAAGTAAAACTGGGTCACTTAAAATCTGATAGTGGAAAGATCAAGACTACTTAACACTTGGGGTGGTTGAGGCAGGAGGATCTAAAGTTCAAGCCTCACCTGAGCCTCTTAGTGAAACCCTATCTCAAAATTTAAATAAATAAATGTATGTATATCTGGGGATCTAGATCAGACTAAGGAGCCTAGATTCAATCTCCAGTGGAAAAAAAGAAGAAGAGGGAAAGGAGGAGAAAGAGAAGGAAGAAGAAAGAGAAAGAAAAGAGGAAGAAAGATAAGAGGAAGAAGGAGAAAGGAAGGAGGAGGAGGAGAAAAAAGAACCTCCTTAAATCCTCAGATTCGGACTATTAGGTATAAAGCTTCACTTTCTATTACATTGAAAAGAAGAGGGGTTATGGGAGCATGTAAAAAATAATCAAGTGACCTAGTGGCCTGGTCTAAAATTAAGCAGCAACCATTCTAAGAAAGGTCTGCATTTTAGTGTTTTTTACCATTGCTTTATTAATATGCTAATTGTTTTATTTGCACATGCATCTTTTCCACGAACAACATATTTCGTTTTCCCAATCCTTTTCCATTTTCTGGTGTTCTAGTTATATTTCTGAAACAATTGAATCTACTAAATCTAACAAAAATTTGAGGTTTGTTTGTTTATTTATTTATTTATTTATTTATTTATTTTGGTGCCGGGGTTTGAACTCACAACTTCACATTTTTATCCTTTTTATTTTTAACATTTCGTATTTTAGTTCACTTGTTTAGCTTTTGCATGTTATAGAATACTGGCCCATAATGAATGAATACTTAATACTAGAGATAGTGTGAGAAGCATTATAAGGTATTAATTCTCTTAATTCCTGGGTAAAGAATCTATTTAAAACTAGCCATGGTGGCTCATACGTTTAACTCCAGGACTCCAAAGGCAAAAGGATAGAGAATTTGATGTCAGCCTGGACTACATAGCAAAACTCTATCTGAAAACAGAACAAAACAGAAGCATCTACTCAAGGGACATGAGTACAGCTCAGAGCACAGCACAAGCCTAGTATGCCCAAGACCCTGGGCTCAGTCACAAGCACCTCAAAAAAAAAAGTAAAACTATAATCTAATTTTTATTATGCAACATTTAATTTATAGGATAAGTAATTTAATATCTACATATATTCACAAACACAGGAAAAACATTACAAAAATGCTGATTTTAATGAATAACGATAAATTAAAATGCTTTTGTTTTTAAGGTGGTAGCTATCTTACTAACAATATTTCTCACCCAAAGGCTTCACAAAAATCTGTTAAAACTATCTTTAATGGTTACATTACTTCAAAATATTTCCCTGGAATCAGTTACAGTGTATTCACATATCCATAGACAAAGTAGAATTTGATGGCTCACCTGCCAGACTTATAACTACCACCATGTCTGGCCAGGCCATGAACTGAGACTGGGCTCCAGAGTCTAAGAACACATACTCATACTGAGTAAAAGCTGTGGCTGTGGACAGCAGCTTTGGCTAAAATAAAACATCAAAGCATGAGTAAACCTCAAACTACTCTTAACTGTCATCTGATGTGTTTTTGATAAGTAACAAATTGTAACATTTGTATTTTCAATGAATAATGAAATAATAAACCACAGTATCTATAATTTGTAATAAGGTTAGGTACAATAAGCATTTTATGTATATGAGTTTTATCTAAAAAAAGAAGAATTAATATGCAATATCTTGAGCAATCTAACCCGCATGCACGACTATCTGAAAGATAGTTATTCAGCAAATCATACTGTCTCAATAAACTCTTCCAAAAATGTTGTCCTCAAAGTTCTGCAGAAGGGAAGGAATTTAAGTACATGAATTATCCAACACACAATTCTGGCCTCCAAATCCTGTTTTTCCATTCAATTAGAAATGAAGTAACTTTACTCTAACACCAATTTATGTTTAACTGAGAACATATTAAAGGTCAGACTTATCTAATAAAGACTTGAAAGAGAATGACAAAAAGATTTAAAAGGACAAATGAACAAACCTGAATTTACAAAAAATTATAATGGTTTAAACTGATAAAAATGCTAAATACAATATAAAACTACTTTCAAATATTTTTAACTTATATGGGCAAACATAAAATGTAAAACAAGTTTTGAGGATATAGAAAAATAAAAGCATTCATAAATTGCTAGTGGTAACATATTGATTCAATTCAACAAGGAAAATTTGGCAAAAATCGAAATTAAAATAGGGACCAACAATATGCCTTAATGGAAGTGGTTAAAATAAAAGCAGCCACTGGAAAGAATGAGGAAGGTCTTGATGTACAGATACAAAGTGCTTATTATATCCAACCTTACTATATATTATAGATGTTGATTTATTATATTCTTATGCATTATAAAATATATTTTGATTGGCAAAAAGCAATCAATACAAAATCAAATACGGTTCAAATGAGAATATAGACCAATATGTCTTAATGGAAGCACTTAAAAGTGGAATGAGGAAGCACTTGATATAGATACAAAAATTGCCAAACATGACAGCATAGCTTGTAACCCAGGCATACCAGCGGCTGAGGCAGGAGGATTGTCTTGAGTTCAAAACCAACCTGGGCTACTTAGTGAGTTCAAGGTCAGACTGGTCTACACAGCAAGACTCTGTCTCAAAACAAAACACCACCAAAAAGAGACGAAAGATAAGTAAAAATAAAAAGACATGGCAATAATTAATTCAAATTAAATTCTTTTTAAAAGGCATGGTACAGACATATAGACGGTACTATACAACTAAATATATATGTGAAGTATAAATCTGTACGAACATACCAAAGGAGATTTCAATGACTGTCAAGTGTGAGATGGAACTTTCACTATTCACCCTTTTGTACAGTTTTAATTTGAACTATCTGAATGTATTACTTACAGAAATATATTATTTTATAGAAACATTATATATTGCCGAGCGTGGTGGCTCATGCCTGTAATCCCAGCACTCGGGAGGCTGAGGCAGGAGGATCACTGCAAGTTCGAGACCAGCCTGGGCTATAAAGTGAGCTCAAGGCCAGCTTGAACTGCATAGCGAGACCCTGTCTCAAAACGACAAAAAAAAAAAAATCATAAGAAATACTATGCATTAACTATCCCATCCCCATTCCTTTTTATTAGTGTTTACAATACATAATGTTTATGTTCCTTGTGTGGAGTCAGTGCATGTAGATAACAGGTCTAATTTCTTTTTTCATCCCTTATCCCTTTCCTGCCTCCCTCTCTCTCACCTCCTGACCCCCTTGACCCTCTTCCTCTTTTAGAACTGGTCTCCTTCAATGACCTTTCCTTAATCCCTGCGATTCTCCATATTACCTGCTCCCCTAGGCACATACGTCTTTTAAAAAAAAAAAAAAAAAAAAAAAAGCATCTCACTATTGTTCAGGCTGTTTTCTAACTGCTATGTACCCCAAACTGGCCTTACTCTCTGGCCTCAGCCTCCCAGGATATACGCACCACCAAGATTAGCTTAAGTCCTCTTTATTTTCTGTCTTAGCACAACCTGGATCTTCTTCCTCACTTCTTAGTCTATCTAAACAACCTCACTTTCCCTCAAAAATCTGTGACTTTAGTATCCCTCATACTTTATTTTTCTTAATAGTATTACCCTTCTCTAACTCATCTTAAAGTCATTTTAGATTGCCTGCAAGTTTTCTAATCCTGTAGGTTTTTCCCTGAAACATTTACTTTCTTTTTCTCAACACCTATTTAATCCACATATCTCTTAGCATATACATGTTACAACAACCTTTTAACTTTCTTCCCAAATCCAAACTATTATAAAGCAAACAAATCTGCACAAGGCTGCCAAAGTAAAACTCATAAAAGAAAAATCCAATCAAAATACTGTTACAAAAGATACCAGCAGACAACACAAAAGAAAAATATAAAGTAGATATACAATACTGAAGAATGAACAGTAACTGAAATATAAATAAAAACTAAATTTTTCTAACTAGCAATGATCTGGCACCAC